TATTTACATTTCGTAGTAACATATTTTTTGTAAAAGTACGCCATGAACGTACGCTTTTCATTTTAGATCGAGAAGCATATAATTTTTGATCCCTTTTGTTATAACCATTTGCCCCAACTGAATACGGCGATAAACTTCTTCAAAGGTTGCATTATCAGTGATATTGATTTCTTTTTCGCTTTTATCCATTGTCAAATTCTAAAGTCTTTCCCTGGTGAAAGTGAGAAATAATTTTTCTGTATTGACTAACAGTTTGGTAAAGGTATATATATGTGTGTATGTGTGTGTGTCAGCGTATACTTTTTCTGGTAGTATAACTAACAAACCAATTGTTACGCTCCTTTCGACAATACAAATCTTTTCCACATGCATGTACATCAACTCTTTCGTTGGAAAGACAAGAGCCTAACTTAAATGTCTGCTGCTTATGAGTGTGTGTGATATATATAAATGTTTATATCTAGATACATATGTAAGTATATATATCTCGTATATATATACACATTTATATATTTAAAAATCTATATCTTTACGTATATATTCAGGTGTGTGTGTGTGTCCATATACATACATATATATGTGTGTATGTATATATATTCATATAAATAATATATATATATATATATATATATATATATATATATGTATATATATAATACAATATATTTGTGTGTGTGTGCGTTTGTATGTATGTACATACATGTGTGTATGTATATATATATACATATATACATGTATGTGTGAATATGTGGGCCTTGCCAGTCCTCCTCCCCCCAGCTAAGTCATCGGCAGCTACAGAAATAAATGGATATGTTAGGGGAGGGGTGCTTTCCCTCCCACCCAGCTAGGAAGGCAGGCAGTGGGTCCTGTTGGGATGGCAAATGTGAGGCGCAGGATGGGAATGAGAGTTACTTGCCGCGCCTGCACCCTGACGGGCGCCAACTCATCATGAGGCCTGTGTGGAAAAGTCCTAGGTAACCAAGCGGACGTTGTACCCCACAGCTTGCCAACTCCCTTTATTTAGGGCAGCGTCGGCAGGGGTGGCGGAGGTGGCGTCCTCCTGAAGCGATCGTCCGAGGCTTAACCTCAGGTGAGCTATCTGGGTAGACCCTTGGAACATCCGGTCCTTGCAGCAGGATGAGCGGTTACCTCAGCTGTCGAGGGAATTGGAGCGGTTGGGAGTTGAGGTGGCTGCTCTCTTGGAGGTGAGGAGACTTGGCAGTGGCACGATCAGTATGGGTGGATACACCTACTACTGGTCGGGCAGTGGCGATGGTCATCACCTCCAGGAAGTAGCCACAGTCATCTCCAGCCGACTTCAAGTCTTGATAGTTGAGGTAACACTGGTTGATGAGCATATTATGGCATTGAAACTGAAGCATGCATCTCATATTGCTGTGTACACTCCTAACAATGCTTGCAAACTCGATGTGAAAGAGGACGATTGACCCCAGTGAGACATTTGCATTACTCTGGTCGACTTTAATGCGGCATCCAGCTGTGATCGAGCTGGCTACAAGATATTTGTTCCCATGGCTCGGGGGCTGATCCCAGCAGTGAGAACAGCACTCTCCTCTGGGACTTTGCTAGGACCTAGAGAATAAGGATTTCTGGCTCCTGGTATCTGCCCTCCAACCCTCATTGCTGGACATTGTATAGCAATATGGGTACTGTGGCCAAGATCAACCACATTCTTGTCAGCACTTGATGGAGTATCCTCCAGAATTGCAGGTTGCTGAATTCTGCCTCTGGAAGTCTCTGATTATTTACAGAACTTGAAAACCTGACAGACTCATTTGCTCCCACAGAGCAACTGGGTTCTTCAAGCACAAAGCACTCGATGCACTGCAGGTGTCCATTAGTGTATGCCCGAGGCCAAGGCAGAATTACATCTCCCTTAAGACATAGGAGGCCATTGAAGCATGTCACATGGCATGGCTGAATGCCAATCAGGACTTCCATCGATCTTTGGTGCATAGGGCTTGGACAGTGCTAAGAAGGGACAAGGAAAAGTCATCAGGAATCTTGCTGAGGAGGTTGAAGGGCATATTTTGGTAAATGACCTTTACCCTGCCTATCAAGCTCCAAGAAACTGAGCTCTAAGCTAATCATCTCAGATCATGTTGGGGTTTGTGAACGTTGGGCTGAGTATTTTGAGTAGCTGTACCAGGTAGATCCTTCACCTACTAAGGAACTAGAGAACGAAGCAATCTGGATTTACTCCTGGCAAGTCCACAATGAACTGTATCCTAACACTTTGAGTAATTGTGGAACGCCATCATGAGTTGGTCGTGGGTTGCTTGCAGCCTACATCAACCTCAAGAAGGCATTTAACTCGGTGTATAGAGAATCGCTATGGGAGATTCTGAGACTTTAGGGAATTCTGCCATGGATTATTAGTTCAATAGCAAGCCTATTTACCGGTACTGAAAGTCCTGTAAAGTCTGGTGGGGGCCTATAAAAGGCTATGGAGAACCTTAATACATTGGCATGCAAGGGTAGTCATTGAAGAAGAGTTCTACACAGTAAGGGGAACACATGAGCCCATGTCCTTGGGTACACGCTGAGTGTGGGGCTGCGTGACTGGCCAGCTGCCCTGACGGGGCAAAGATTGCACTGACCTTATCACGTCGGCCACTGGACACAAAGTGGTAGGTCAGATGAGGTCAGATAAACTTATCATCATCTAAGCCCTTACTGGCTTTTTGGTTCTAAATTGGACTTAGTGCCATATGGCAAACATCCATGTGGTCTATTTCTGATGGCTCACACAAATCGTGCTTATGTTCATGGTATAGTGCTCGGCCACCTACTCACACCTCGCCCTCAAGGCACTTTAGATTTCTAACGTGCATTGTCCATGGTGCATCTTCGTGGCTAGTCGTCCTTGTTGTCCTCTTCTTCCTGGTCCTTGGTGTAGTCTACACGTCCTCGCAGATCTCGTCCAGGTCCTTCTCGGCTGCATGCTCGTCCAGACGTCCTCGTAATCTTCGTCAGGCAGGCGGCGCTCGTCCACAGCATCATGGGGCTAGTACCTGCACTGGCTACTTCCTAGTCCTTCACTGGATCTATGGGCGTCCCGGCAGGCGGCGCCTTTCCACTACCTGGGGCGGCTTAATACCTGCTCTAACGAACATCCTGGTCCATAGGCTTCTTGTGATCTTCCAGTGACGTCTTTCCCACAGCAACCTAAGTTGACCGTTTCTACAGCAGGGTCCTGCAAAAGAGATAAGGGGGTATTAAGCGCCACTAACAGATTATTTATATTAATTTGCAGTGTTTAATGTTCGTTTTTCATGTTATTTTCGTCTTTTTCCTTTAATTTTGTGTTTTACTTTCACAGAGCTAAAGAAGATAAGAGAGGGAGACGTCAGTAGCGATCTGCAAGGACCTGGCTTGAACCACCAATCGTCTCTGATAGATATGAGAGTGGATAAGGGAAACGACAACGGAAATCCACAAGAATTTACTTGAATTGTTGTCACACAGAGAAGAAATGTATGTAAAATAAGAAATTGTACGTCATATACTAGTCACTCGTCACGACTGACAAAATCGCGGGCAAAAGAGATACATCATAGATCTTTACACCTCCAACTACAACAGCAACAAACCCTATTAATGAAAAGGTTTTAGTGTCTTTTGTTCTGCATGGGTGAGTGAGTGTGTGTGCATGTGTGAGTGACTGGGAGCATGAATGAGAATGAAAGTGAGAGTGACCTCACACAGAGTGGAAATGTATGACAAACATGATTATGTATGCTAGTTAATGCAATAAACTAGCGATGCAATTAATGCGAAATTACTTCAACTACCACATTGATCATCAACATCATCTCGGAGTCAGCAAATCTAAAGCGCAGAGGTCGCCATGTTTAGCTATGCATGTTAGACTTCAGGGGATCTCCTGTGCCCTCAAAAAAAAAAAAAAAAACATACTGAATGAAGTGAACGAGCCAAGAATATTCATAAATAACCCCTCTATTCTGTGAATCCGTGATGGGCGCTCATGACATACCCTATCTATCACGAATCACACGATCACTTGGGATCTACCTAAAACATGCAAGCGAATTCTATAGGGTGAGAAGGGTGTGATTAATAAGCGAATAACGATTCTAGCTTAAAACCTCGTCCTACATGAATTAATGAACGTAACTACAGGTCACACCGACTCAAAAGTTGCCGATCGAATTAATAACTTAGCGTAATTCTATTAGGCGATTCATACAACCCTGTGTTATATTGGGCATCCCTGTGCACTATGATATTGGGAAGATCCTAATGCTATACTCAAATATACTATACTCAAAAAATCGCGTTACAAGCTCTGCTCTAGCACCAATAGAACAAATCACCAATGAGCAATGTAACAAAGCTATGGACAGACAGATAGATATATAGTTATAGATATACATGTATATATAAATATGAATATATATAAACATATATATATATATATATATATATATATATATATATATATATATATATGTATGGATATATATGTATTGTATATATATATGTATATATATATAAATGTATATATATATATTCATACATATATGTATATATATATATATATATATTTATGTATTTATTTATACATATATGCGTATGTATATATGTATATATCTATATATATATATATACACATATATGTACATATCATATATATATATATAATACGTATCAATATATATGCATATGTATCTATATGTGTCTATATATATACATATATATATACATAGCATATATATGTATATATATATAATGCACAACAATTTAGTTTGGGAATGATCGTAACCCATTCAGTTGCTTATGAAGTGTAATATTTGTGTCCAACAAACAGCATCTGTGCATTCTCTCATGCACGGAGCTCAGCCCAGGCAATTCTCCTGCTGTTCCCTGCAAGTGACGTCACTGCAAGCACGCCCAGAGGTGGAAAGTGGCTGTATATAACGCCGGAGTTGAAGCTGAGGCAACACACTTCACGCCTCTCAACATGCTCAGGGTAGGTCTTCTTAAAGATACGTATTCTCCTTTAGATTTGATTTCTCGTAATATCTCGAAAAATCTTCAGTCTGGTTTGATGAATTTATTACTGTTGCTCAGACTTACATTACTTGACAGTTTGCTGTGATTGCTGTTGTGTTTGTGGTGGTCGCCGCCTTTCCCTCCGATCCCCACAGGCGCTCACTTCCTACATACGGGGACGTAAGTATAGCATTAAGTCTCCCTGTGTATTAGTTATATCGCCATTTAAGTTTCTGTCTTATAGATCCGTAAAACGTATTCCTTACAGGCTCCAGCCGAGTATCAGTTTAGCTATGAAGTGAAGGACGACTACTCCAAGAACGACTACGGGCACTCGGAGGACCGCAGTGGCTACAACACCCGGGGACAATACCAGGTCAGTCACGCCCTCTCCCTCCGAGACTCCAGATCAGTGGTTCTTAACGGGGGGCGCGAGCCCTGGGAAAAAAACAGTCATTTATCTAATTATCTTTGTTATTTTCTTAACGAGAGCATGGAAAGTTTAATTATAATGCCACTAATTCATACTCATTATAAAGACTAACAATACTTACTTATAGTTTCTTTGAAATCTGGTAGGGAATTTTCTTTACAGATTTAAGGCAGGCGTGGAGGGAAGGACAAATTCCTAAAGGGGGCGTGGTAGTTAGTCTAGATCGCGGTTCCCAACTTTTTTCAGTGAGTGGCCCCAACCAATATGTAATGATATCCATGGCCCCGTTCAGTGCCTGTCATCTTTTCACATTCAGAAATAACTTTTTTTTCAATTTAGTGTAATACTGTCAATAGGTATAGGACAAGAATACACTGATATGTGAGACATAATTATTTGTGGGGAATGTGAGATAATATCCAGTATAATTCGACCTCATTATTTCCATATTGCTCCATGACCCCATATTACTCCGTGGGGGGCCACGGAGGGCCACGGGGCACATGAAACCGAAACTTGTGAATAAACCCTCAAGCACGTAATACTGCCATGCATCCTCTTCCTAATTAGAAAAAGTTCTTAAAAGGTACCAGTGGCGTAAATAGGAAATTTTATAGGTGGAGGGCGAGAAATGCAGATTTTCCGACAAAAAAATTATAAGCATTTTCATTTCTTCATGATTATTTTCCGACAAGATTAGCAATTTTCCGACAAAATGCCATTTTAGCTCTAGAGGGAGGTTTTCCACCTCCCCTCACCCCCCTCTATCTACGCCACTAGCTGCCTCATCCAACCCCGTCCTCCTCAGGTGGTGTTGCCAGACGGCCGCGTCCAGACCGTGGAATACACCGTCAGCAACGACAGCGGCTTCATGGCGAACGTTAAAGCCAAGGGCGTCGTCCAGCCACTTTACGGATAACGGACGCTTTCTGCTTAGTTGTTGAATATTTTATGAAGTAAATACAGAGATAAATAAATATATAAAAATACTCACTTATATTTGAAATTTTCACTCCAAACCTAGGTCATCAACATCTGAATACCGTGTACATTTACAAAAGTCGCCTTAGATGACATACCAGTCATCACATTTCATTGGATTGAATTGTTAATTAGCAATGTTTGTTTCTTTTAAAGGAAAAAAATGCACTTCACAAATAAACTCGGATATCAAGACGTTTATATCTATATATATATGTATATGTATATATATGTATATATACATGTACTATATATATACATAGACATTACATATATATATGTGTGTGTGTTCGAGTGTGCGTGTGTAGTATATATATATGTATAATATAGCATATGTATATATACACATAAATATATACATATATACGTATACATACATACATACACGCACATATATGTAGGTATGCATGTATGCATATATATATCTATATATATGTGTGTGTGTTCGAGTGTGCGTGTGTAGTATATATATATGTATAATATAGCATATGTATATATACACATAAATATATACACATATACGTATACATACATACATACACGCACATATATGTAGGTATGCATGTATGCATATACATATCTATATATTCATATATTTGTGTGCATGTATATATATATATATATATATATATATATATATACATATATATATCTATAAATGTGTGTATATGTATATGAATATGTATATATATATATCTATATATGTGTGTGTGTGCGTGTACATACATATAGACAAACATATATATATATATATATATATATATATATATATATATATATATATGTACATATATGTGCACATACACACACACACTCACACACATACATATATATATAAACACACATACGCATATGTATATATATATATATATATATATATATATATATATATATATGTATATATGTGTATATATATATGTATATATGTATATATATATATATATATATATATATATATATATATATATACATATATATATAGTATACGCACATATATATTTGCTGTTTAGATAAGCAGAGAACAAAATATTTATGAAGGAAAGAAATCCCATTTACGTCCAAACCTCCACGCCGAATGAGTCATGTGTTTGTCTTAAGCCCAAATCCATCGCCTGGAGTATGTGCTCTTGACCTGACACGCCTCGAGACGTCAATTCCGCGAGATTATTTACCCTGGCGATTAATCTGTCTGGCGACGGGTAAAACACGGGTTCTCGCTGGACCATTCATTAGCCCCGAGTTTCGATTTTGGAGTTAGAAAAGGACGGGGGGGGGGAAGTACCGAAAGATGATATTTGTTCTTTTCTTGTCTGTAGGGTGTGTCTGTTTGTCGAGAGACGGACAGGTGGTGGGCGTGAATCTGATATGTTTGATATGAATTGAATGTTTGATATGAATTGAATTATACAATTGTACGGTTTATAGGATGATAATTGCATTTCTCGAAACGTGTGTATAACTTAAATAGTAAGCTGTGTGCATTTTCCATTAATCTTTCGTTTTAAAAAGATCAGTCACGCTCCTCATTCTGAATTTGTCTAGATCCGCCGAGATTTTTGAGCGCTTAATTACAGATTAGGAGGGAAAACAAAAATAATGTTTGTATACTGTTTCCTATATTTGGCTTTTTGACTCTGAGGATACGTGACTCTATCGTTTTGGAATCTCATTTATTCTTGTGTTTTACTTTATTTCTCTCTTCGTGTTTGTTTATTTTCTCTCTCTTTTTCTTTCTTTCTTTCTTCTCTTTTATCTACCGTGTCACATTTTGTTGTTGTTTTTTTTCTCTTCTTCTTTCTATTCAATTGTCTGATAACAGAACTTCCTTTTTATTGTCTCCTTCCTTTGCATCACACCTTTATTTCCAATCCTCGTCTTTCCTTACTTTCAAAATTCTTTATTTTTTTCTCTCTTTTCATTTTGCTTCACTTCCTTTTTCAACCATTTTCTGTGACGATTTTACTTCGTTATTCATTCGTCTTCCAAATTTCCAAGTTTCTTTAGTTTTTCCTGTCCATTTATCGTTTGCGTTATTGATTTACTGATATCAAATACAACGAATATATATATTATATAAAACCTTTCGTAATTTGTTTTATTCGTCATTACTATTTTACCTATTTTTTGTATTATTACTAGTTGTACTATTATTATTATTATTATTATTATTATTATTATTATTACTATCATTACTATTATTACTATTTTTATTATTATCATTATTATTGCTGTTGTTGTTTGTTGTTGTTGTTGTTTGTTGTTGTTGTTGTTAATATTATCATTACTATTATTATTATTATTATTATTGTTATCATTATTTCTGTTTAGAACAGTTCCTTTGAGGCTTTTGGGTTCTGCCCCCTATACCCAGTCTTCGGTTCGTACTTATGATCACCTGGGAAGTAATTGATGAAAATGGACCCCCTACCCCAAAAAAATATCAGTACACTTATTAATAGGCTACACTTACACACAACGCTCGTGTACACAGACCGACAGTGATTGGGTACACACTTGTGATAGGTCAGGAAGAGTGTTTGTGTGGCGCGTGTGTGTGTTCGTGTGTGTGTGTGTGTGTGTGTGTGTGTGTGTGTGTGTGTGTGTGTGTGTGTGTGTGTGTGTGCGTGCGTACGTGCGTGTGTCTATATGTACTCACACAATGCAAACACACATATTCTTATCTACTCTTGACATTATCTTCCCCCTTCAATGTCGACGTGAAACATGACTCCCTTAGATAATAGAGTTTCTGCTTTGCTAATTGCTCATGGGCGTGCGTCTCTTGAGTGCTGTGTTTATTTGTTATAACAGGAATATTACGCCTAAACTTCATTCTACCGTTTGTTATTGGAGGTGCTTTTGCATTAATGAGTGTTAGATTCATGTTGTCATTCTGTTATTTTCTGCTTCATTCACAACATTCATGTATGTTAATCCTCCCCACGAAATCATAAATATTTGCACATTTATTTATATTCTTAAATATGTAAATGTTTAAGCTAATATTCTTTAACCGTACGTTACTCAGCATAAAACTCAAATTTTAGTCATTTGTACTTATATTTGTATTCTACATGAGCATACTTGCCTGATGCATTCCTTATGCAACATGGATTCCCATATTTTGTAGTGCATTAAATCTCATTTAGTCATTTGTACTTATATTTGTATTCTACATGAGCATACTTGCCTGATGCATTCCTTATGCAACATGGATTCCCATATTTTGTAGTGCATTAAATCTCATTTAGTCATTTGTACTTATATTTGTATTCTACATGAGCATACTTGCCTGATGCATTCCTTATGCAACATGGATTCCCATATTTTGGAGTGCATTAAATCTCAGAAAAGACAAGTATCCACATATCTCCGTTAATCCTGATCAAATCACACATAATCCTTATGTTTACATGCTTTTCTGGAATTCATGTAAGGTATTATTATTGCTTTACATCATTTTTTTTTTCGAATAACACATTGAATCGGAGCACTCCAGCTTGTGGGGTGAGTTGCCAATTTTTCCTTTTTTGAGACTGGACGGAGAGTAGGCCTATTAACTAAAAACTTAGAATATAGACACTACAGAATTCAACCAGATATTTGATATTAGGATGTAACCAATAGCAGCCTCCTCGTTATAGTGACCTGTAACTAGGAGTATTATTATCATAGAATCAGTGTATTTAAGACTGTTTACGACAAAAGAAGGGCTGGTCCAAAGTTAACGTGAATAGAAAAAAAGAGCAAAGGAAATTATATGTAAACGATTTTCTCCAACATCACATTGTTTGCACGAAACTCCCATATTTCACTTTAATTCGTTTTCTTGAGGCAGAAATTGCTTAATGACTATAGTACTTCCGGCATTGCTCCCTTGTGAATTAGCTGAGGTTTAGCCCACGAGTCAGGACAGGATTTATTTATCTGAAAGTACAAAATGTTTGTGTGTGTGTGTGTGTGTGTATATATATATATGTGTGTGTGTGTGTGTGTATGTGTATGTGTATATATATATGTATATGTATATACATATGTATTTTTTTTTTTTTTTTTTTTTTTTTTTTTTTTTTTTTTTTTTTTTTTTTTTGTTCCTGTATATTATTAATAAGACTCAGAAATGTGAGTCTTAGAAAATTGCAGTGCTGGGTTTGCATGTGATGACGTCAACAACATGGCTGCCGGGTTATCTCGTACGTGCTACATTCCATCAAGCATAACTTCTCAGGAGTCTGTGCTAGAAGGATGGGGCTTTTTACACGAGATTTTCAATACAATGTACAGTATATTTATATACGCATTTTTACTTACCTTCAGTTTTTTTCAGAAAAATTTAATCCGACATAAAAAAAAATATCGGTAATCTCGTTTCATAAGTTTACTAAGAAAACTTATATTTATGAACAAAAGAAATACCACACAAAAATTGCCTTTTATAAATATTAAGAAAACATAATATGATGAGGTTTCGGTTAATATGAAATTCTTGTTATAATCAACTCTTAAGAACCGAGGCCAAGAGAACAGATCTTATAAAATATCTTTGAACTAGCTACTTGTGCTCTGCGACACTAAACGTTCTTTAAATCTAATGTTTGTGCACGCTCGCACACACACATACACATACACACTCACACACACACACACAAATGCACACACATTCATACACACATGCACCCACACACACACAAACACATATACATATATACATATATATGTGTGTGTATGAGTATGTGTGTGTGTATTCATATGATATATATAAATATATATGTGTGTGTGTGTGTGCGTATTCATATGACATATACATATATATATTTGTGTGTGTATTAATATGATGTATATATATATATACATATGTGTGTGTGTGTGTGTGTGTTCATATGATATATACATATATATATATATGTGTGTGTGTGTGTTAATATATACATATACATATTTACATATAATATATATATATACATATATATACATAAATATGTGTCTCTGTATACGTATAAT